AAGACAAGCCTCCAGCCTCAGGAGATGGGAGATGCACCAGCAGCCTTGACCAGAGAGCAGTGCTTGCCAGTGGTCAGCACCTCAAATGCCACAAAAAGCCACCCTCAGCCTCCCAGAGCTGCATGGATAGAGCCTGCCCTAACCCCATCGATTTCCACGTGTGCCAGGACAGCACACCCAGGCCTGGGGAGGGGAGAGCACATCCTCACCGGAGCTGGGCCAGGAAAACCTCCATCACTCGCACCATGTCCACGTCCACGTGCAGCGGGAGGGAGGCCTGGGGGGAAGCAGGGGCTTCAACGTTGTAAATCTGCAGGAGAGCGTGTCAGCGTGGACAGCCAGAGCCGTGGGGCTGGCAGGGCTGCCAGCACTCGCTGGGAATGGGGACCAGTCCCCTTGCCTGGGAGCTGCCAGCACCCCCACGGCCCCGTACCATGATGCCACCCCAGCGGGGGCTGTGGAAGGCGTTGGTGCTCACTGGAGCTCCATCCTTGTCCTGGATGTACAGAGGGGAGTGAGAGCGCTCCGGCACGTACAGCAGGAAGTTCAGCACGGGGTAGAGCGAGGCAGCGCTGGAGCCTGCAGCGGGACAGGCAGAGAACTCCCTTGGGCAGGCAGGGACAGTGAGAGCAGACTGCCCACACACAGAGCCCAGCCCTGCTCCTCCTTCCACAGAAAGCCCCGAGCAGAATCACAGAATGTCAGGGACTGGAAGGGACCTCGAGATGGAAGGGACCAGAACTGCCAGCCCAGCGGGTCACCGTCACCCTCGCTCCCATCCGCAGCTGGCAGGGCACGGTGCTGCAGGGAGGGAAGTGGCAGAGGCCACAAGCACAGCGGTCCCCACTCCCTCAGCAGAGCCCGTGACAGCTGAGTCAAGAGTGCATTGCTCACCCAGCCTGGCCTCCACAGGGTTGATGACGTGGGGGAGGCTGTGGGCGCTCAGGAGGAAGCTGGAGGACTCCTTGTCAAAGCGTGGCGTCACTCCGAGGACAGCGTAGTACAGGATCTGCAGGCACACACCAAAGACAGTGCTGGCAAAGAACTGTGTGCTGGGGCACCCAGCAAGGCCCAGGGCTGGGGTCTCCCCATCGCCTCTCCCACCTCTCACCTGCGAGTCAACCGAGAAGTTGGCCACCAAGCTCAGTTTGTCCAGGACAGGCCGCACGTAGCAGTTCACGGCATCCTCGATGGCCCAGTCCACGGTGTGGGAGGGGGTTAAGCAGGCTGAAAGTGATCTCGTCCCCTGCCGAGGACGCAGCGCCTGTGAGGCACTGGCACAGCCACTGCCTGTTGGTGCTGAGGCTGAGGATGTGGCCATGACAGAGCTCCAAGCACAGCAGGACCTGACCCCCTCCTCCTCCACCCTCCCCGATGCAGGGTCATACACCAGTGCCCCAATACACAGTGACCACAACGTGGACCCCAGCCCAAAGCAACTACCCAGGGCAAAGGGAAGACCCCGGGGGGTCTGTCATCCCAGAAGACATCCAGGGATGCTACAGGTAGAGCAGGAGCAGCGTCTCCCCCAGCGCCAGCAGACCTTCCCCAGGTCAGGGCACAGGGCTGGGGTGCACATCCGTACCCAGGCTGGATTTTAAGTGTCTCCGGGCATCAGGGCATCAGGGCCAAGCTGGCTGTCAGGGACACGATCAGAGAGGGCGGCAGTGATGGAGCTGGCCGTGAAGGACATCACCTGCGTGAGCTGCTGGAGGCGGGCGCGGAAGGCAGCCAGGCCACCCCCAGCCCTCACCAGGGCGCTGCGGTGCTTCCCCACGTAGGTGCTGATGCCCTGAGGAGGGG